TCCTAAAACAGAAATGCTGGATTTACTGCCTGGCAATAAAACTGCCATTGTTGCCCGTATCACAGTCCCCTGGCTTTGTTGCAAATGCAAACAGGGTTGTAGCCTTTGGTACAGTCAGCCTCTGATGTTGGCCTCACTGGGCACCTACTGAAGCCCACACCCCACTTGCAGTCCCCTGACTAGCTCTATGCATGATAGTCAGATGATTGTTGTTCTGGGTGGGGTTTCAGTCCCTCTGGTGCAGCAGCTAAGAAGCTTGAGGATAGGGACAGGGAAGACATCCCATTCAACTTGTACCTCAGTTTCTGCCGTGTGGTAACAAGTTTCTAGGGGGTTCCAGGCACTCAAGATTTGTGTTTTTCCATTAGAAAATCAGGACACAGCAGTCTGCAATGTCTTAGAAATATGGTTTATTCACACATATTTGCACCTAAAACCTTCAGTGGAGGAAGTGCAGAATATGATGCCCCAAGAGTATCTCTTATTGTTCCTCTCATAGCTATAGCAAGCTTGTCTCCTAAGCAATCATGTCCCCCAGTCTCTCAGTGCAGCGTCTCCCAGCCAGCATACATGGAGTTCTGCTTACTTCCTCCTTCTTGCTTCCAGAACTCCTAGCCAAAACCCCTCTGTGTCAAAGGATGCCCTCCTTTCCTACAGAGACATCACACACCCCTTTTCCCCTGGCAACCTTCCTCTGTGTATAGCTTCTGCTTGGTCAGTTACTTCCTTTGAGTGGCTAATGGCTGTCCATCAGCACCATTGTTTCTTCAATGACCTGCCATCACCAGGCTGGCCTCATGAGCAAGCTCTCTGGTGCTATTCCCAGTCCTTGCTAAGTCCAGGAAACCATGAGTTTGCTCAAACTCTGACACTTCACAGGATGTAGAGACTATGGGGAGTCTGCCCACCTCCCCCTTCATAACAGTAGTTTCCAAAACAACTGGCAAACCAAAAGAAAGAAACATCATTCAAAATTGGCATTTCTCTGAATATTGCATGCAATGTGGTTTGAAATATTGAAAAGATACATTTTCTATATACATTTTAAAAATTGCTTCCATGGAATCATGATGTTATTATTCATAGCATCGTCTATTTCTCTCTCTGATAACCACTTCTCCATTCAACATTATTTTCATTTGTTGTGGACCATATTGTGTCAAACAGGCAAGTATTGTAATTTTTTTGTATCCCTCAAACATTTTTATTGTTATATCTAGTGAAATAAAATAATGAAAAATTTGGGGAAAATAGTTTGTACCCGCACTCCCAATATCAATAATAATAATTATTTTTAGAGATTGTGAACACTTTTATTTTAATTCCACTTTTTTTTCTTTCTTTCTTTCTTTCTTTCTTTCTTTCTTTCTTTCTTTCTTATTTTATCTCATGGATTTGTATAGCCTTTCTTAAATAATAATATAAAAACATTTTTTTTAAAAAAATGTAAGGTGGTCATTGTTTCAGGATCACATTGCAAGTTTTCCAGTGCCTCATCAGAATCCAAGAATTGCATGAAGAAATGGGGGTGGGAGCTTAGTAAGAGTGTGGGGGTAGGAAAAGCGGGGGGATAATGTAGGTGTTTGTGTGTCTCTATGCTATGCAAATACTTTAGAGAATACAAACTGGAAAATGTAACATACAGATCTTTACCCATCCCTCTAACCACCCCTCTTCTTCAAAAAAAAAAACCCACACAAAAATCAAAAAACAAAAACATATATTAAAGATTTTCTACTTCTGATTTTGAGTTTTGGTTATCTAACTCATTTTGAATGAGATTCCTCTCTTTTTTATATACAATAATTTCAGACATAGCTAAGGGGTCGTTCTGTTTTGTTTTTTTGTTTTTTGTCTTTTGGTCCCAGAATGGCCAAATCACTTTTTGAATCAATATAAAGAAAAGTGTATTATGAAGAAACACGAGGATCTCTTGTAATCTCACCAGCACACAGCACCCCACCCAGCCATGCAAGGAGCCTCTGGTTGGGACTTACCCTTTATTAAATTATTGTTGACAACCATCTGGAAGAAACAAAGAAAACCATTGTTGGACTCAATATTCTTTATTGGGCCTGCAATCATCCAGAAAACAGTACGGAACCCCATAAACACACTTGGAGGAGGAGGGAGACGCATTGTGGTACCCAAGTGAGGATGAGGGGAAAATACAGTTTTGTCTGCTTGTTAATGAGAAACTAACTCATTTGCACTTCCTAGACCAATACGCAAAGTAAAACTCAGTTACACTTATTTCACATTTCTCAGAATTTTGCAGTGTAGCTCTTCAACCAAACAGTGTATACGAAAATGCATTTTTGTGGGGAAAGTGTCTAAAGTGCATATTTTGGTGATAATAACATATATACACATATATATATGGCTTGCCAATCAGAAGGTTGGCGGTTTGAATCCCAGCGATGGGGTAAGCTCCCGTTACTCGGTCCCTGCTCCTGCCAACCTAGCAGTTTGAAAGCACAAAGTGCAAATAAATAAATGGCAGGAAGGTAAACGGCGTTTCCGTGCACTGCTCTGGTTCGCCAGAAGCGGCTTAGTCATGCTGGCCACATGACCCGGAAGCTGTACGCCGGCTCCCTCGGCCAATAAAGCGAGATGAGCCCCGCAACCTCAGAGTCGTCCACGACTGGACCTAACAGTCTGGGGTCCCTTTACCTTTACTTTTAACATATATACAAATGCATTATATTAAGGGGAAATGCTAGCAAAACCCTATATTAGCCAAACTGCAAGTACAAATTGTGTTAATTTTTTTTATAAATATTTATTAAGATTTTCACAATGTTACAAAATGAAAAAAGAAAAAGAAGAAAAAATACAAAATAAAAATAATTAAAAACAATTAAATCTTTCTATCATTTATCTTTCATTTACTTGTTTCCCGGACCTCCTCATACCTCCCTTTTTTGTATTCCAGTTCAATTTGTTAGTTCAGCAGTTCCTTTCCCTCCTTAATTCATCCTGATCTTTAATCTTAAATATATTATAACATTAAATTTTTACCTGTTAAAAATCCATTTTTTCATATTCTTTTATACCATTACAGCTAGAAATCACTTAACTTCAATCCAACATCATTCTAACATTCATTGATTTTGCAGTATTTCTGTAAATAGTCTTTAAATTTCTTCCAATCTTCTTCCACCGACTCTTCTCCCTGGTCTCGGATTCTGCCAGTCATTTCCGCCAATTCCATGTAGTCCATCACCTTCATCTGCCATTCTTCCAGAGTGGGTAAGTCTTGTGTCTTCCAATACTTTGCAATAAGTATTCTTGCTGCTGTTGTGGCGTACATAAAGAAAGTTCTATCCTTCTTTGGCACCAATTGGCCGACTATGCCCAGGAGAAAGGCCTCTGGTTTCTTCAAGAAGGTATATTTAAATACCTTTTTCAATTCGTTATATATCATTTCCCAGAAAGCCTTAATCTTTGGGCATGTCCACCAAAGGTGAAAAAAAGTACCTTCATTTTCCTTACATTTCCAACATTTATTGTCGGGCACATGGTAGATTTTTGCAAGCTTGACTGGTGTCATGTACCACCTATATATCATTTTCATAATATTCTCTCTTAAGGCATTACATGCCGTAAATTTCATACCTGTGGTCCACAACTGTTCCCAGTCAGCAAACATGATATTATGTCCTAGATCTTGTGCCCATTTAATCATAGCAGATTTCACAGTTTCATCCTGAGTATTCCATTTCAACAACAAGTTATACATTCTTGACAAAGTCTTAGTATTGGGTTCTAACAATTCTGTTTCCAGTTTTGATTTTTCCACCTGGAAGCCAATTTTCTTATCCAAATTATATGCCTCCATTATCTGATAGTAATGAAGCCAGTCTCGCACTTTGTTTTTTAGTTTCTCAAAACTCTGCAATTTCAATTTGTCTCCTTCCTGTTCCAAAATTTCCCAATATTTCGGCCATTTGGCCTCCATATTGAGCCTTTTCTGAGCCTTTGCTTCCATCGGTGACAACCACCTAGGGGTTTTGTTTTCCAATAAGTCCTTGTATCTTATCCAGACATTTAGCAATGCTTTTCTGACAATATGGTTTTTAAATGCTTTATGTGCTTTAACCTTGTCATACCACAAATATGCATGCCAGCCAAAAACATTGTTGAAACCTTCTAAGTCCAAAATGTCTGTGTTTTCAAGAAGCAGCCATTCTTTCAACCAGCAAAATGCTGCTGATTCATAATAGAGTCTAAGGTCTGGCAGGGCAAATCCACCTCTATCCTTTGCGTCAGTTAGTATTTTAAATTTTATTCTAGGCTTTTTGCCCTGCCAGACAAATTTTGAAATATCTCTCTGCCACCTCTTGAAACAGTCCATTTTGTCCACAATTTGCAATGATTGAAAGAGAAATAACATTCTTGGCAATACATTCATCTTTATAACAGCAATTCGGCCTAACAAGGAAAGCTTCAAGTTTGACCATATCTCTAAATCCTTTTTCACTTCTAACCAACATTTCTCATAATTGTCTTTAAATAGGTTTAAATTCTTAGCAGTCATATTAATCCCCAAGTATTTTACTTTCTTAACCAATGTTAAACCTGTCTCCTTCTGAAATCTCTCTTTCTCAATCGGTGTTAGATTTTTCTCAAGCACCTTAGTTTTTAACTTGTTCAACTTAAATCCTGCCACATGACCAAATTCCTGAATCAATTCTAATACTCTTTTAGTACTAGATTCTGGCTCCTGTAGCGTCAATACCAAATCATCTGCAAAAGCTTTCAGTTTGTACTGTTTAGCTCCGACCTGTATATGTTTAATCAGACGGTCCCTTCTAATCATATAAATTGTGTTTATTAGGAGAAATGCATGCTAAAATGTGGATGGATTTTCAATAGTTGTTTTTTTAATGCAGATTTATGTGAGGGAAGTGCATACATTCATGATAATAACATTTATAAAATCATAAAAATTATAAAAAAGGCAATGCTGGTAAAACTGCATGTACAAATTGTGTTAACCAGGAGACATTCACGCTAAAACATGGACAGATTTTCAATAGCTTTATTTTTTTAAAAAGCAAATTGCTGTAGAAATGTGGAGAACCGAATTTAATGTTCTTTTAAAAAATGAGAAACCTAAGAGCACTGGAATGTGACAGATTTGTCCATTCCTTTGCCTAGCTGAATGGCGTGGAGAGAGAGTTTAGGAGAGGAACTTCATGAAGAGAATGCTGGAGATACTGGGTAGAAGAAGAAGGAAGGAATTCTTCCCCAAGATATGGTGAGTGCAAGCCTCTGATGTTGTTTTGGTACTTGTGGCTGGTTTTTGAGTTACACCTGATTTTTGAGTTGTAGATGATGCAGGAGCTGGAGGTTTTGCAGTAGTTGGGGGAGTGTCACACGATATTTCATCCATTTTGTAGGGGATTCCTCCAATTTTCAATTCAAAGTCCTTTACACCGCACATATTGCTTGTTCCGCAACCCAGCAGGATGAACTTCCTGGCACCTGCAGGTAGACATGTTGATCAATAGCAGGAATCAGTGAAGCCTGCTCTAGTAGAACAAATGAGGCATGGCCCCTTCAACATCTGTCTGCCTTCAGCCAACCCTCACCTGCCAGCCATCAGCCCCACAACCAGTCTTGACCACCAGCTTCCTCCTCCTCAGTCTCAGTGTTGCCCCTTGTAGAATGGAGCAGGGAAGAGGATGGGGACCAAACCAGAGTCAGTTTCGTCTGCTTGTCAGGGGCTCCTCCCATGCCTATTGGCAATGGTCCAATACCAAAGGCACTGGCTTGGGCCCAGCATTGTGTGGGACCAGCGTCGCACCACACGGACGATGTCACGGGCCTAGGACACCTTGCACGTGTCCCACGCCTATGACATCATACATGCAATGCGCATCACACGTGCGACACCAGGAGGTGGTTGAGTGCCATGCAGCTTCAATGGCTGTGGTTCTACCTCTCTCATGCTTGGGAGGAGCCACTGATGCTGCATCATGCTCAGCACTCAGAGCATAAAGATGTCTTTATGTTGAGCATGCGAAATAGGTACCGTATTTTTCACTCTATAAGACGCACCAGACCATAAGACGCACTTAGTTTTTGGAGGAGGAAAACAAGAGAAAAAAATATTCTGAATCCCAGAAGCCAGAACCGCAAGAGGGATCGCTGTGCAGTGAAAGCAGCGATCCCTCTTGTTGTTCTGGCTTCTGGGATAGCTGTGCAGCCTGCATTCGCTCCATAAGACGCACACACATTTCCCCTTACTTTTTAGGAGGGAAAAAGTGAGTCTTATAGAGCAAAAAATACGGTAATTTTTTCCTGCTCCACCCACTTCTGATTCTGCTCCGCCCATCACTGGCATCTAACCTCTAAGAAGGAAATTTTTTTAGTTATTGAATTTATATCCTACCCTCCCTCTCAAAAGAGCCTGGGGCAGTGAACATAGGCATAATTTATTTTTATTATTGTTGTTGTTGTTTTTAAAAAATCACCTTCTGTCTGAAAAAGGGACCCCACCTTTACCCCTCGTAACTCAAGGTGGCATATTTGGTTCTCACAACCATCACTGCCTTATTTTATGTTCACAATGTGGCTTGCAAGTAAGCATATTACTTATTCTTCCATGCCAAGTGTTTCTCTGTGTGACTGCATCAAGGTAAGCCTCCTCTCCTAACAAGTATTCAGAAGCTGAAAGCCTCCAAGCTGTGTGCTAACTCTGCATATCAGTCAATAGTATTCAGAATCATCTGGTAAAACACAGCCCTCTTGGCTAATAGGCATTGGCAGCCTTATCCTTCATAAATATTTCTAATACATTTTTGAAGGCCATTCAGTGTGGTGGCCATGATCACTACATGATCATGTACCTACGGGACCGCCTCTCCTGGTATGCCCCACGGAGACCATAAGGTCCATAAACAGCAACACCCTAGAGGTCCCGGGCCCTAAGGAAGTTATCGTATTTTTCGCCCTATAGGACACACTTTTTAACCTCCAAAAATGAAGGGGAAGGTGGGTGCGTCCTATGGGGCGAATGCCGGCTTTCGCTGAAGCCTGGAGAGTGCGCGGGGGCGGTGCGCACCGACCCCTCTCGCTCTCCAGGCTTCGCGCACCTCTCCGCAAGCAGCGGGAGCCCAGCGCTGGGCTCCTGCTGCTTGCGGAGAGTTGCCTGCATGCTGAAGCCTGTGCGCAGTGGCGTAGCGTATGGGGTGCAGGGGGGGCCGGCCGCACCAGGTGCAACATCTGGGGGGGGCGCACTCGCAGCTCTCTGCCCCTACTAAAATCCACAGATTAGGGGGCGCAAATTACTTGCCTTGCCCCGGGTGCTGACAACCCACGCTACGCCACTGCCTGCGCGCGCTGAGCTCAGCGTGTCCAGGCTTCGCGGACCTCTCCGCAAGCAGCGGGAGCCAGCGCTGGGCTCCCACGGCTTGCAGAGAGCTGCCTGTTCGGGGGCTGGGGTCGGGGGAAGCTTCCCCCCGCGCCTGGGGGGGAAATAATTTTTTCCCCTTTATTCCCCCCCAGCGGCGTAGCGTGGGTTGTCAGCACCCGGGGCAAGGCAAGTAATTTGCGCCCCCTAACCCGGGGCAAGGCAAGTAATTTGCGCCCCCTAACCCCTAACCTGCCGCCGCTGCCAGCTTCTTCTTGCTGCTGCCTGGCCTGGTCTGGTGTGGTTCTCTCCCACGCTCAGCGCTGTGCTGGGCGGCCGCTGCACTGTCCCTCCCCCGATAGTCCCTCGCTCTCTCTCCGCACCGCACGCCTGGCACCCACCCCCCTCCACAGTGGGCGGCGACCCAGCGGCTCGGATCGGATTTGCACAGCCAGCACTGCAGTGAGAGAGAGTGAGTGAGCCAGGTAGGGGCAGAGAGCTGCGAGTGCGAGCGCGCGCCCCCCAGATGTTGCGCCCGGTGCGGCCGGCCCCCCCTGCACCCCCACGCTACGCCACTGTTCCCCCCCCCAAAACACCTTATGGGACAGTGCCTCCTATAGGGTGAAAAATACGGTAGATTAGCCTCAACCAGAGCCAGGGCCTTCTCAACACTGGCTCCGGCCTGGTGGAACGCTCTGTCTCATGAGACCAGGGCCCTGCGGGATCTGATTTCTTTCTGCAGGGCCTGTAAAACAGAGTTGTTCCACCTGGCCTTTGGCTTAGAATCAGTTTGATTCCCTCCCCCTCTTTCTTTTTCCTTTCTCCTCCTGTGAAGAGGCTGCATCCTAATGTTTTAATGTTGTATTTTAATCTTGTTTTTTAAATTGTATTTTAATCAACATGTTTTTATTATTGGTTGTTAGCCGCCCTAAGCCCGGCCTTGGCTGGGGAGGGTGGGGTATAAATAAAATTTATTATTATTATTATTATTATTATTATTATTATTATTATTACATCTCATGGGACAATTCCCATTATTTAACTATGCACTGGGCAAAGAAATATTTTCTTTTGGTCATCAGGAATGTTCCAACATTTAGCTTGATTGAATGGTCCCAAGTTCTACTCAAATGAAAAGGACTTATGTGAATGGGCCCAGACTCAATCACACACTCCTGACACTTTAGCACTCCAAAGAACGATGCACACATGCCATTAGCACGTTATCATGGGTGCAATCCCACCATGCTCTGGTACAACACCTGTTCATTTCAATGATGCTTGCATCAGAGAACATCCTGGAAGATGGTTCCCCAAGAGTCAGGGCTGCAAGTCTCTTGTTCTGCCACCTGAGTCATCTCATCTTGCCTGACGGTTGGTCCACCTCTGGATCATCCAGAGGCAGCATTCCCCTCCCACCTGCTACCCCCACCCCACAGAATCCCTCCTCCTCCCTTGCTAAGTCCCTTCAGGGTTACCAGAGCTTCCTGTTGCATTGATGCAACTGTTTTGAGCATCTCTGCATGAGACTGGTGTATTCGCGCAATCATTCACCGTCTGAGCATAACATCCTTTTGGGCAAGTGAGCCCATTCTCAGTCCAAGTAGTTGGAAGAGCTAGGAAGCAAAGAAGAAAGAAGCAAATTGTCATATATGGAAAGTTTTTACATAAGAATCTCCGAAGAGCCCCGCTGGATCATTGACAGGCCTGCTTCACACAGACACAGCAGCCGCAGCCTTCCTGATGCATTCACACAACCACCCACTGAGTCCTCTCCCCCCCCCCAGCTCTTTGTTAGAATATTCTTTGTCAGAATGAAAGAATGAGGTCTAGAGACACAGGTTTGACACCTTTCCTGTCTTGCGTTAGGATGAAAGGTGTGGAGGTACCAAAACCTCCTCCACTCCACCCTGTTCCTGCCAAGTTTCAAAAGCAAATTGTGGCTGTTTTCATCATTCTGAAACCGAGGCCCCACCAGACTTTTATTGCGGGTTCATTTGTGCAACATGTTCTTCAAACTATAACACTGCATTGGTGATGGATTTCTCCTGGTTTCATTTGTCCTGTGGTGTTTCCTACTGCATTATTGCTGACTGGAGGGGCTGTGGAGCAACAGAAGTGGGACGAAAATAAACCAGGACATTTGTGGCATGAAAGGTGATGGGCTTTCAGCAGGAAGTAATGGGATGTGCACTGATTGGAAATGAAGCAGTATGACCAGCCCAATACCTCTGCACATGCAGACAGTATTGAGAGTGGAATTGTGTGTGACTGGCCCAATAGCCTCATGGGCACAAATCATCCTGAATGCACTATAAAAAGGACTTCTGGAGGGGTCCAGGTTTGCAATTCTGATATCAGAGGGGCAGGTGATGACTTACCTCCCCACTCTAAGTCTTTGTTGCACCCATCTTCAGCACAGCAAGCAGAGCTGTGGTGCAAATATCTCCCGTCTCCTACGGTGATGGCAAAAGCATTGGCGCAAGAATTTCTTTTTCCACAATCATAGAATTTTGTATTGAAGCTGACACCTATTTACCGGAAGAGAAAAAAGACAAATGGTCAGGAGAGCCCATTCCCCAGAATCCTTCACTCTCTGCCTAACTCCATTGTCTCTGCTCTGCCTTCCCCTTCCATCTGTTCCAAGTTCTCCCAAGGGAATATGGCTTGCTGGAGTACAAGCGCCTCCATCTTGCTGAAGTAAGCTTTGGAAGTTCCAGATCAATGGTGAAGAACCTCAGGACTGCGGACCAAAGGCAACCTCTTTCTGTATCTGACCCTTCAGAACCGGCCCAATCTACACCCCTTACCAACTTCGTTTTACATCCTCCTTGAGTGTCTTTGCCTGGCTGGTATTTGTCATTGAAATCTGACAATGATTCTTGTTTTCCTTGACTGGATGGAAGAGAGAGAGAGAGATGGGTCTTTGTGGGCAGAACCTAGCCTATCAAGCTAAAATTTACATTTATTGCTTTGCCCACTTTTGCTTATGACCCTGCCCAGTCAGGTGTGTGGCCCTCAAAACAGAATGTGGCCCTCAGCTTAAAAGGGAATTCTGCTCTAGAACACTGGAGCATGCCACCAGGTAAGGCCAACATCTTTCTTACCAAACATTGTGCTCTCGTCCTTGATGACCACGCAGGCATCCAAACCACTGGCACAGTCTGAAACCTCAGAACCTTCAATTCCTTGTTGACACTTAAGGGCTGGAAGAAGAAAGTAAAGGCTGAACAAAATTACTGTATATCAGAGTGAAGACATAACAAATATAATGGGAGAAGTTCTGCTGTGGCTCTGTGATTGGAGGAGCCTCCCCCCCCCCTTGAGAGGACAATTAGGACAATGGGAGAGGTTAAATACCTCAGAAAAAATAAGGGGGCAGATGACGGAGATAAATATACATACAAAATTAAATATTTGGGAACATAGTTGATAGACAAGAGTATTAACATATTTAAAGACAATTATGAGAAAATTTGGAAAAGAAATAAAAAGGAATTTAGAAATTTGGGGAAGAACTAGGAAGCAAAGAAGAAAAAGCATATTATCATCATATGGAAATGAATGAATTCCTATGCCCCACAAATAACCCAGAGATGCATTTTAAATAAAAGCACACATTCTACTCATGTAAAAACACCAGGCAGGCCCCACAAATAACCCAGAGATGCTTTTTAAATAAAAGGACACATTCTACTCATGTAAAAACACACTGATTCCCGGACTGTCCGTGGGCTGGATTTAGAAGGCAATTGAGCTGGTTCCAGCCCAGGCCTTAGTTTGGCTACCCATGATCTGGATGGTACAAGGTCACATTCCATTCCTTCCACTGTTTACAGACTAGTGTACGAGCCGCAGCCATAAATAACTCACAGAGTACATATCCAAACTCTGCCATTAAAATTCCGGTCTGGAGTTCTTCCTTGGCACACAGTTAAAACCATAAGAAAGCATAAGAATGCACAAAGCAACTTGTCCTCTCCCTTTCTTTCTTGGCTGTTGTAAGGATTCTCAAGCTTCTAAGAAAACATTCAGCTACCTTCAAAAAGCCAAGCCCAGTCCTTTTGGCAGCTGATTGATTGTAGCCTATTAGCATATGTCAGTCCAGGAGCACCTCTTGATTCATGCCAATTGTCCGAATTATGGAGGAACCAACCGCAAATCATGCCAGAGATGGAGGCTTGTCCATGGCAAGGACACTCCCAGGTTGCACCCGATCTGCCTTTCAAGTTGGCAGACACGGGCTTGAGCAGCACAGTGGGGTGCAGTGAGCTCCCCTGATCCCACTGGGGACCATTGCCAATAAATCCTGGCTTTCCCCTGCCTGAATGGCAGCATGGAGCTACTGGCATTGAGTTTGTGATGTAGCCAGAAACCTACATGGATTTATCTAATCCTGCTTTCGTTCCATCTAACGCAGTACACACCACCCAACCTTGTGACAGTGAGTTTTAGAAGGTGGCTATGGATTGTTGTGCAAGAGGAAGCACTTCTTTCGTCAGGCCTAAACTGATTGCTAATTTTCTTAATTGGGTGGCTCAAGTCAGAAATGAGTCTGTGTGGCCCTCCAGATGTTGTTGGGACTACAATTCCTATCATCTCTGCCAATGGCATATCCTGGTCATCATTAGAGATCCTTTCCAAAAATTCCACTCATTCAGTGTTCTCCCTGGAATCTGGACTTCCAAATTACTTGTTCTTGCTCCCAATATGAAAAAGATCTGTTGGGAATTTTCCATTGTTCCATTTTTTTTAAAGAGTATTCCTTTATATTATATGGATTATAAACTACTAAAGATTATAGCAGCATACAGCCATAAAACTTTAACAATAAACAGTTCAACAGTTCTCAGAAATGAAATCAGATATGCATCCTTCAGGAATGTCAGCAAAAAATAGAATAGAATAAAACAAAGGTTTTAGCTCGACAAAATGTGTACGATGTCGGAAAGTGTCTAACTATCCTTCATGCACTGCCTCCAGTACATGCAGCAACACGGGGGGGGGGGGGCACCCCATAGATGGTTGCAGTGAATGGGCAGCTATATAGACAATACTAGCCTATTCCTTGGAAGAAAGCCTGCCAATCAAACTAGTAGCTGTGGTGCCTGTGGTGGGTTGGAAGCATGAAGTTATCCTTGGATGGCACTGAGACACGGTGATGGAAAGGTGGGGATTATACAGATGCCTCGGCAGGAGCATGGAATGGGGAACTCCATGGCTCCAATCCAGCCCAGACCTGTTCAGGTAAGCATCTTCACATGCTGCTACTGTGAACTTAAGATGCACAGCTGATATTTGTGTGCAGTATAGAGATGGTGTACTGCAAGCACCCATTTTCTCTGCCATCAAAAGTGGCATAATTTCTGCCAGTCCCAGTTCCGCCTGCAGCATGTTGAGTTTGTTGAGAAAGCCAAGAGAAGGACAACTGGGAGCAGGAAACTATCGAGGCAACAGCACTAGGCTGGTTAGATGTCAGGCAGCATATGCATCTTGAGTGGTAGTCCTACTCAGAGTAGACCCATTGAAGTCAGTGGACATAACTTAGGTTCATTTGTTGTGATATACTCTGAGCAGGACTTAGCTGAATAAAACTCACTGCATATTTGAGCCACTGCCTTTAAAATATACAGCGAGCTCAACAGTTGTTCTAACAGCAGTGGTTTGATCTCCAGACAGATTACTACCAGTCTCCTTGTTGCCAAATCCGCCCACTGAAGTGCTAGTCTTGAAATCCAAACAGACACTAGCCCTTGATTGATTACTGGTGGATTGATTATTGAATTTCTATACCACTTAGTATATTAAAAATATATCTAAGTGGTGTACAAAAAGCTGAGGCAAAAACAGACAAACAAAATATTACAAAAACACACATTCATTTTCCTTCTGACACACCCTTCCCCTCAGCCTCCGGGTTCTCACCCAGGGTCCAAACAAACTCTCAGCAAACCCATAAAAGTCTCACAACAAGAAGAATTTATGGGAACAGCAGATATCACCCTAGTTTCTCACTCTAGAGCTGCTTTTTATGGGCAGGCCCAAGAAGGACAGTTTTTAACCCTCCTAGATTAGCATCAAATGGCCCAGTTGATATGTCATTCCAAAGTCCTGGCCTTCCATTTTGTCCCTAACAGCATAGTAGGAGAATGGATGTGATCAATGATAAATAACTTACGTGGATCCTGAGAGGCAACTAAGAGTGGCGAAAGAAGGCAGAGCACAAGGAGAGGCTCCATGGTGTCAAAAGGTAGGGCTAGGGACAAGGCTGAGCTTGAGTGCTTCTGGTGCCCAAATTTATGTGTAGAGGGCATTTTATAGATAACGTCTGCAATAACGTAACTGAGGCAGTTGCTCCAATGAAATGCAGTAATTGTGTAGTATAAATACCTGTAAAGCAACTGGGTGGAGATGCCTGTCTTATTGTGTTGTGCAATGCATTCCTAGGGTGCAAGGACTTCCTGGAATGAATGGTGGATTCTGACAATAAAATTTATGGCAAACATGATGCACGATGCAAACCTTTAGGTCCGTTTGACACATATCTTACATATTATTTGACACACATCTCACATCGTCAGATATCTCATGGGCTTTCACATGGAAGATGGCGCAAGCTTGTTTTCTCCTGCGCCAGAGTGTAGGACTCAAACCAATGGCTTTGAGTTACAAGAAAGGAGATTCCGACTAAACATCAGGAAGAACTTTATGTCACTAAGAACTGTTTGACAGTGGAATGGTCTCCCTTGGGAGATTGTGGACTCTCCTTCCTTGTAGATTTTTAAGCACAGGTTGGATGGTCATCTGTCATGGATGCTTTAGCTGAGATTCCTGCATTGCAGGGGGTTGGACCCATTCCAGCCCCTCAATTCTGTGATTCTGTGATCCAGGACAGATAGCCGTCCAACCTCTGCTTTAAAACCTCCAATGAAGGGTTAGAGAAAAGTCCTGCTGTCTGAGAGCCCTTCCACTTGAGGACCGTGTTCTTTAAAACAGGACATTTGCCCACCTTAGTGGGCAGAAGCAGGATTTGGTGCATGAAAAGGATAGCAAGATTTTAAAGCTGGCCCCAGTGTGGGATGGAGATGCTTTTCTATCCCAAGGGCTGCATTATCTTCTGGGCAACCTGCCAAGGGCCACATGCCAGGTGTGGGTGGGGCACGAGAGAGGATTTTTTAGCTTTGTAGTGGAGGCTGGTTCCTTCCCCCCTAGTGGCACACCCCTTCCTTTTTTCCACCTAGATGAGCAAGAGGCGTCAGAGCTCAAGGACACGTCCCACCTAGGAAAAGCTCTTGGGGTGCAAAGAAGTACCAGGAGTGGGCGTGGCCAGGGGAGAGTTCTGAGGGCCAGAGAGGGAGACTTCAGGGGCCACATTTATCCCCTGAGCCTGAAGTTCCCCAACTCCACCCCCAACAGGTGGGGGACCTTCCATTTGGGGCTTTGCTTCAGGGATGTCTTGGACTGGCACAGTCGAGAGAGGGCTGAACCAAAGGAGCGTCTCCCTTGACATTGAATTTATCGATGGCTCAACTCATCTCCAGTCAACTCCTCCTCCAGTCGCAGAGAGCTGAGCTGCAGTGGCTCCCTGGTCCTTGCTGCTGCTGTTCAGCTGGTATGAATTAAGACCTTTCCTCTAGGTCCGTAGTCCAACTCGTAAACCAGAAGTGCTTTGTTTACTGCTTGGCAATAAAAACCACTGGTGCTTCCCATATCACAGCTCCCTGGCTTTCTTGCGAATGATGGCAGGGTTGTAGCCCCTGGAAGGGTCAGCATCTGCAGTTGGCATCATTGGGTACCTACTGAAGTCCACAGTCCAGCCAGGGTCCCATGGCTAACCCCGGGGTCCCCTTGGTCCTCCTCTTCCTCCTGTTTGCTACTGCCTGTTTTTTCATTACATCTCCCACCCTGCCTCCCTTTATCCTACGTTTTTCCTTTCAAGCTATGACCTTGCTCTTTACCTCGTGGGCCGCTGTATTCAGGGCCGGACAGGGATTTTTTTACCTGGCAGTTGGCACCGGCCAACTGGCTTTCACCTAACTCAAATCAATCATTAGGCATTGGGTAAGCCTTAGTCTTGGCTAGAGGGGAGGCTGTAGACTCTGCCTGCCCCACCTTGGTTAAGGCTATCCCGTTATAAAGGGATCCGCAAGGAGTTGCATCTGTCTGACGCCCAGGTGGCAGCTAGGTCCGTAAAGTAAAGGTAAAGGGACTCTTGATCATTAGGTCCAGCCGTTTACCTTCCCGCCGGAGCGGTACCTATTTATCTACTTGCACTTTGAGGTGCTTTTGAACTGCTAGGTTGGCAGGAGCAGGGACCGAGCAACAGGAGCTCACCCCGTCACGGGGATTCGAACCGCCGACCTTCTGATCGGCAAGTCTTAGGCTCTGTGGTTTAACCCACAGTGCCACCTGCATCCAAGCACTCCTCTAATGGGGACCCTCTCAGGAGTACCCCTAGATGCACTTTAACAGATGGTCTGAGGGGGGAAAAATGGCTTCACCCAATGCCAAACATTTCACATCTGTACTTGATAAAAGTTGTGGCCTATTTGAACCCAAACTATATGCTGCTGTCTTGTCTGGTAATTTATTATCTAGGAAGCAGCGAGGTCACGGGGCCTTGGCAGGCAAGTGTAAGGTTTTAGAGATTTTAGAGAAATATGGAGGAATGGAAGTTCATGCTGAAAATTAGTGCATTCCTCCTTGAAGAAAAAAGATGAAGACACTGATCATGAGTAAGAAAAAACGTAACGTTATAATTCTCGATACCTCGGCACATAGGATTGTTACACAGGTGAGGATGCAAACACAGAGAAACTCAAGAAAGCAATAACGTTTACAAAGGGGGACCCAGTTAGCTGGATGGCTGCAGAAGGGACATAATCCTCAGTTTGCCCATCAGTGCAAACTGCATACTCAGTCACAATGTAGAGTTTTCCTGCATAGGGCACAAGGTCATTTACATCCAAGGAACAAGCTGAATCAGTTGCACAGCCTTTGACGGAGAAGTTTTGTTCCGGTAAACCTGCAGAGAGAGAGGAGCAAATGAGAGGAAGAGAAGGTCCCCTTTCTAACCTAGCTTGTTTTCCCCTGTATATGACGGTTTGTGTCAGAGTCTAATTGCAGTGGGGGCTTGACCCAGCTGAATCTGGTGTCTGCAGAGCCTCACAGCTCACAGGTTCCCCCAACAGCATACTATAAAAGAGGGAAGAAGTCAGGGAGAAGGCAGCAGCCAGAGGTGAAGCATAGGTTTGGAAAGCAGATAGACTTAGAAAGCCAAGTGCGGGAGAAAGAGCAGGAATGGACCTGGAGCTCTTTCTGGGATGGCCCCTCTCATTTCATTGCCTGAGGCGAAATGGGAAAATGTTGCCCCTGCCTCCCCTCCAAAATCTCGCTTACTGGGGTCGTGCGGCTGCAGCGATGGGAAGACAGCAGTTTGTCCAACTTCTCTCTGAAGCCCCTTTAAACAGCTCACCTGGGCCACTACCACCCGTGTTGCTTCCTTCGTCACTTCCTGCCTCTCATTCTGTCATCATGCTGCCTATGGGCGGCCGTGCAAATTACAGCATGACAGCCTTACTTTTATATGTATATAGGAAGAAAAGGAAGATGGGACAGGAAGCAAAAATAATGATAAAGTGAAAATAAAAGGAAGGTGAGATCTAAAACTTAAAAGAAAAGAATAATAGTCACTCTGAGGGGACTTCTGAGATTTCTGTGGGGGAAATGGCATGCACCAGCCCCTGGAAGTGTTGTCTGTGGTGAAAAGTACTAGGCTGGGCAAAGTTTTGGGAAGCCTATTCCCTGTCTACACTTGCCTCCCATCCTTAATTTTGATTTGGACATTCTTTCTGGAGAAGTTTCATCCCAGCCTTACCGTTTGGTAGTAGGAGGGAAAGAGGGACATGGGGTGACTGTTTTTTTAAACACACACACACAGAGTGGTGGTCATAAGTGTGTCCAGTGATCATAAAGTCAATTTGAGGGTGTGTAGTGAAATCACATCCACTCCTTACTTTACTTTTAACACATGCATATGCCACTTTAAGAGTTGTACCTTCCCCCAAAGAATCCTGGGGACGGTAGTTTCTTAAGCATATTGACCCCAAAGAGCTACAGTGCCCAGCACTCTTAACAAACTACAGTTGCAAAGACTCATTGCGACTGTCAAAGTGGTACAAGAGTTCTTGAAATGCAGGGTGTGGCTTTGACCTAAGTCTCACAGAGTCCTGTTGCCTTTTTCACAAGCTAAGGGCTGTGGATAAAAGATTCCTCCTTGCCCCCCCTCCCAGGTTCATCCTACTTTCCACCCACAACCCAGGTGGAAAAGGGGAAAATTAAGGGTAAGGCAGAAGCCATCTTTAAGGGCTTTCAACAAAGCTCCTTGGAAAGCTCCCAGTAACAGCAGGGTGTGTGTGTGTGTGAAGAAATACCAGCGTATAGCCCAACAAGGGAAATGCACTTTTCTTCGATTCCGGTGCATTCGACGCGCTCGTGGGCCTGGCAAGGGCCCCGGTTAAAACTCTCACACCCTGGGCAAGTCAACCCGTTTTTGGTAGAACTCGCAGGAGTCACTGGAAAACAATCAGAGGAAGATCTCACGTGAGTGCGGGCAGTGAGAGGTAGCTCTGATGAAACGGACTCAGCCCATGGAGCTAAGCAAACACAGTAAGCCCCAAACGTATGCACATTTAACTTGTGCACTTTCAGCTTTATGAGCCTTGTAATAATAATAATAATAATAATAATAATAATAATAATAGGGGGAGGGAAAAGAGACTCTGGCAATCCCACCTGCCATTGAACTCAGTGTGTCCTGACCATATGCAATTTTGGCTTTAGCTGTGATCCCCAGAACCTAAAACCCACGTAAATTGTAGTCTGTGCTTTGGTAGTCTCGAGGCTAGATTACTGCAGCATACTCTATATGGGGCTGCCCTTGGATCTGGCCTGGAAGCTTCAGCTAGGGAAGAACGTTGCAGGTGGACCGGCAATGAGAACCGATCGCCTCCAACACATGACACTCCATGGGCCAGGTTGCCCCCAAGAATGAGCCAGATCCACTGGTCTATCTAGTTCAGGATTGTCTACTGATTGGCAGAAACTCTCTGGGGTTTTAGGCATGTCTGGAGATGCCTGAGAAGGACACAGTGCCAGGGGGCATGAAAAAAGCCCAAACTGCAACAGACCAGTAGTGTCTGCAGATATAGGAAGCTGCCTCATATAGTCAGAGCATTGCACCATCTAGCTTAGCACTGACTGCACTGACTGCCAGAGGTGCTCCAGGGTTCCAGCTTGGGCTGGGTGATAGATTGTCCCAAACTGGTTTGAAGTCCACATCAGGATATTGGTTTCATGATGTATCACGAATCATGATTTGTGTGAGTTATGCAAAAATCTCAATGTGGGGAAAACCGAGAAGCCAGTTAATGCCTCTACATAGCTCCATCCTTATTTCAGACGTCAGGAAATATCGGTATGTTGCTATGTTTAGCTGGTGATATATCGTGATGTTGAAGACCAGATATCACACAGTTCTAATTCCAGGCAGGGGACATTCCCAAGTCCTTCCTGGAGATGCCAGGAGTTGAACCAGGGACCTTCTGCAAGGAAAGTGGTCTACCACTGAACTAAGGACTTTTCCATGAATTGAGGTCTTCTGCTGAGACCCTTCTCCGAAAGCCTCCTTCACCAAACAAATGCTCTTCAGTGGCATGGGAGATGGTCTTCTCAGCAGAGGTACCAGTTGCAGAACACTCACCCCAACGAGATTTGCATGCCACCTTCCTTGCTATCTTTTTAGCATCAGGAAAATACAGTTTTTTTATTTACCCGGGCATTTTAACCAGTTGCAAATCCTAGCCTGCTTTCAAGGGGTCTGTTCGCTGCTTGATTTTAGTGGGGTCCTGCTTTGGTTCTTGAACTGTGGCATTAATTTTTGTTGTTACACAGCCCTGAAATCCAAAAAAATGTACATGACTCCTTTCTTTCCTGCGATGTGAGGTTTGCCTTGTATTGGAATAATAAAGGACAGGAGTCAGCAAACCCATATTTATTGATAGAAGTATAATAAAATAAGGTATTATTTGGGAGTGCAGATCAGGAAGTTTAACTAGGAGAACAGAATGCATTGTAGCTTCATCAATGGCAGGCTTCTTCAACCTCAGCCCTTCAGATGTTTTGAGACTACAATTTCCATCATCCCTGACCACGTCCCGCTAACTAGGGAGTTGTAGGCCAAGCATCTGGAGGGCCAAGGTTGAGGAAGCCTGATCAATGGCATATTGAGTACAAACAGGAAACTGTGCATCTTTCATTGTGCAACTATTTAGATATATTTATATAATCTTTGGAACTATATTAAAATTAAATTCACAGATCAATTTTTGCATTTAAATAATAATATTTCCTTGCATTTATAATATAATAAATTCCCTTCTTTGGCCAGATCTGGATGGTGGCTCATGGGGGGGGGGAGACGTCTTTTGAGAACTCCCTTAGGTCACTGGTTCAAGGTCACTCATTGCAGATTTGCATCCACATTAGGGTTGCTTTATGAACCTGCCAACTCGAACCTCATGGCCCACCACTGTCCTCAAGAGGGAAGCTACCAAAAGCACACATACACACACTCTCACACACACACACACACCGCTTTGAAACACTCTGCAAGCTCAATCAACACTCACTACTTAGAACCAGTTCTTCGTTGCATCCAGCAGTTCCACAACAGGCTATGTTGCTCCGGATTTGCCTCTCCGTGGATGTGCTCAGCGTGAAGGCTCCTGGTTTGCAGGCACTGCGGTTGATGCAGCTTTTGTACATTCCAGTGGGGCTGACACCTCTGCCTGGAGAAAAAGAGGATGTGACTATTCCTCCTGAGCATGGGAGAAATGTCATGTTGATTGGATCAAAAGCCTATCAGCAGGGACTGCCTTCTCTGATCGGACCAATGGCACGTGTAGCCCAGCATCCTGCTCTCACAGGGCAAAACCTATGGGAAGCCTGAAAGCAGGCTCTGAGCATAAGAGCACCCTCCCTTCCTGAGGTTTCCAGCAACTAGAATTCAGGATCACACCGACAGAGGAGGTAGAACATTCCCATCAGAGTCAGCAACCGCTGAAAGGCTTCTCCTTCACAAAATTGTTTGGAAGATTCAGGGCGGATAAAAGAAAGTACACCTTCACACAGCACGTGGTTAAAACTATGGAACTCGCTCCCACAGAAGGCAATGATGGCCACTAAATGAGGTGGCTTTAAAAGAGGATTAGGCAAATTCATGGCCACTAGCCATAATGGCTATGCTCTGGCTCCACAATCGGAAGCAGATTGTGCTTCTTCTTCATCATCATCTTTCCATTGGTTTTTACTGCAGCTTTTTTGTGCCACAAAACCAATAAACAAACACATATAGCACCTCCACTTTCCATTCAGAGAGTGCCATCAGACACTATTGCCACAGACACTGTGGCATTGGAGGAAAAGAGAGGGGAGTGGGGGGAGGGAGAGAGATGGGGGGATAATAATGATCTTTCATTCTATTGCATAATGCCTGTGCAGGGTCTTTGTGTCAGCATCACACGGGTAGGTCCTTTATTTATAAATTTGTTCATTTTTATTGTCATTGCAAGAGATTATGGGGTCCAGAGCTTGGATAGTTGTGTCTGGTTGGTTGCAGTGTAGTTTCTTTGTATGTATGCCAGGCAGGGGCGTTGTTGGGTCAGATTAGCCATATCGATGCATATGCTGTTGTGGGGCACAGGTCATTGCCTTGTTGTGTTGTATATGTGATACAGGGGAGCCACACCGGGGTGAAGGGGTCCTCCTTTGCTTGTCCTCATGCTCGTGTCGGTTAGCTTTCCTAGTAGGGTGCAATGCTTCTGAATACCAGTTGCAGGAAACCAAAGGAGCGGGAGAGTGCTCTTGTGCTTTTTTCTGGTTTCCCATAGGAATCTGGACTCGATGGGCCATTGGCCTGATCCAGCAGGCTCTTCTTACGGCTTTAAGTCACTCACCCAACCAACGCTGAGGCTGAGCAGGGATTTGAACTCATTCCTCCCTAGTGGAGAAGGACCAGAAGCCTACTCAGGGAGTACCTACGGCATTTGCCAACAATTGCACCCACCTAACGTGTTGAACGTCGATAGGGTAACACACACTAGTTCTTTATGCGGGCAATGAATCATCTTGCATGTGGCCTCTCCAAGGTCGCACTTTGCACATGATAAATTCCTAGCTTCTGGAAGCAGAAAGAAAGGGCGGATAATCGCTACAGAAGGAACTGTAGGGCTCCAACCTGGGGGCTTTGTCGTGGGTCAGCTGGGTGGTGGCCCTGGGTCCACAGAAGTCAGGAGGACCCACTTTGGAGGCAGGAGGGGGAGTGGAAACAGAGACCCATATGCACATTATGCCTCTGTAGCTGAGACGGGTCAACTGCAGAGGAAAGCCTGATAGCAAAAAATAGGGGTTACAGCTGGGGCCCCGTTTATGGTCTTTTTGCCCAAGAAGCTCCCCATCCCGAAGCCTGGATCTGCCCATGTAAATAAGGTTTAATGAAGACCACTCACCATTAATAGGCAGCAGAAGAATGCAACAAGTAAGGCAGTGGAACAGGATTATTTTCATCGTTCTTTAGAGAAAGAACGGGCAAGTCCGGCGCAGAGAAACTGAGAGACCTCAAAAACTGCAAGGTTTAACGCCTGCACTGCAAAGGTAAACTTAGATATTATATATGTGTGTGTATAACATCAAGGTTAGCCAACATAGTGCCCTCTGGATATTGTCGGAATACAGCTTGCGTCATTCCTGGATTGACCGGGGCTGGTGGGAATGAGGGTATGGCAAAAATATGGAGGGTGCCATTTTGGCTGCCTCTGGCATACATGGTCAGCTAGCTGCTGGGAATCACAAGTCATGAGAGGGCTGTTGCACTCAGGCCCTGATTGGTGACTTCCCATGGGCATCTGGCTGGTCACTGTGAGAAGTGGAAGCTGCCCTAGATGGGTGTTTAGCCTGATCCACCTGGGCTGTTCCGAGGTTCTGCTTCTCTGTGCAGCATGGCTGAAACCACATCTTTCCTTAACTCCGTCCCAATCAATCACAATTCAGGCCCAACTTTGTCGCTTGCCCCCCCTCCAAGAAGTAGAGCTTCAAGAGTAAGTAGTTTTCCTTGTGCGTGTTTCCCAGCAGTGTTTGGGAGAAGCCCCCACCCCAACAACAAAGAAGGAATCAGGGGGAAGAAGAGCAGGAGAGCAGCTTTCGTTTCTGACTTCCATCAGCCACAGCTAACAGGGCCTGTGGTCAGGGATGAAGGCAGCTGTAGTCAAACACATCACTTGTTCTTGAGTAATAATCACTCACCTGTAGTTTGATACAAAGGAGGGAGAGATGCCTCCACCCACCCGAAACTCTTGATTCGTCATCGTTTCTTGGCAGTGTGAATATTTATTTACTTATTGTTAAATTTGTTTCCTGCCCTTCATCCGAAGATCACAGGGCGGTTCACAACGCAGAAAGGCAAAATGAGAACACAGTAACAAAACAAAAGCAAACCGATAACCTGGCTGGTATTAACCTGGCTGACCCATGAGATGAGCCTGGCTGCTGGATTAGGCCCCCCCAAAACCATCTAATCAGCATTTGAAATGCATTTTGCAGCTAGCTATTGGCCCCTTTGTGATCAAGTGAAGATGCCCAGGTGCCAGGTTTAAGGGGCCGTTTGGCGCCTACGTTATACACCTGAGTTTTTAGCACTGCATCTAACCCAACAACCTCTTCCTCACAATGGCCAATCAGATGTCTATGGGAAGCCCACAAACAGAAACTGAGCACAACAGCCTCCCTCCGCTTTTGTCATTCACAGCAACTGGTACTCATTCATACTGCCTCCAAGACTGGGGGTAAAACACAGCCATTGTGGTGAGCAGCTGTTGACAGCTCTAGGCTCCATGAATTTGTCTAATCACCATACATTAAAGCACATCCTACACGCCCCCCCCCAAAAAAACTGGGAACTGCAGGTTACTCCTCCCAGAGCTGCAATTCCTAGCACCCTTAAGAACCTACAGCTCCCAGGATTCTTGGGTCGTGCTTCTATTGTCTGGCGTATATGCAGCTCTAAGGATGTTGGGATTTGTTTTCCCGCTAAGGGTTTTTAATTGGTTTGCAGACTGCCAACGAAGCCAGTGCTTCCCTGTGTTGCAATACACCAGCAGATTTAAAATTATACAGAAATTGTTGCGTGGGAGAGATTAGGAGGCAGCAGCTAATTGGAAAAGTCACCCCCACCATATTAACAGAGGCCGGAGAAGGGAACTTGGAAAAAAATCCTTCCGCAAATATATAAATGGGATTGATAAAAAGAATACAAAGACTCACACTGACTACCAAAGGACCTTCTGTCTCTCTCTAGAAACTAGGCCTCTGGGAATTCACAAGCTCCTACCACCAGGCTGGCAAGGCCTACAAGAAAAGCTATACCAAAAATGTATGTCTCTGATTGGCTTAAAATGACAACATCTGAATGCAACACATAAGACAGGCTCCTCTTTTCTTGCCTCTTCAATGCCTGTTTTGGGGGGGGGGGGTTCCTCTTTCAATTTACAGTAGCACATTTTTTAAAACTACTATTTGGATCCATACCAGATTCAAAACAGGTTTCAGATATGCAATTATTGATATATATTGTTACAGATCTGGGGTTAACAGAGTTTGGGGAGGTGCACGGACACTCATAACCACTAGAGAATGTTAGAAATAATTAATGGTCGGATATGGATAATATTTGGAGTAGAGAAGGGAAGATGCCGGGCCAGGCCTCTCACGTGGAATAGAAGTAGCTAAGAATGACAAAAAGTGCTGGAAGCAACTCATCCTCATCAGGGAAAGAGATTCTCTGCCTGTGGACAAAGAGGGGAGCTCCCAGAGGGACAAAGGTTTATAGGGAGTGGGCAGGCTGTACCCACAGGGGAAAAACTGCCATTTTACACAAGGCTTGGGTGTGTTTTTCTGGCAAGGGTTATAGAATCATAGAATTATAAAGCTGGAAGGGGGCCCAAGGGTCATCTGGTCACACCCCCTGCTATGCAGGAATATCAACTAAAGCATCCATGACAGATGTCCATCCAACCTCTGCTTAAAAACCTCCCAAGAAGGAGAATCCACAACCTCCAGAGGGAGACTGTTCCTGACTGTTCTTCTGTCTCTGTGTTTGCTTTGCAATGGAAGTGGAAGTCTGGAAGTCCTGAAGGGGGGAAGTAGCAGGGGAGGATGAAATATAGCAGGCTGAGGGAGGGCAAAGCACTTTTCTCCACCTGCCAGTTTCTCTACTAGAAACTGAGTGTTCACAACCCTTAATATACAAGGGAGAACCAGTGTTCAGGTATGGAAGACCTGTTGTGGGGGTGAGGGTCAGTTTCTCTCTCTTTCTCTCCCAATTGCATATTATTAGGGATGCACAGACTCACACACACACATAAAATAACAGGATTCAATATTATGGGAAAGCTGGGGGGAAATAGGAGATGTACTGCACATATCCTGCTCAGTTTTGACCGGTGGTTCCCAACCTTTTTTTGCCCATGCCCCACCAAAATCCTGATGCCACACACGCACACCCCAACATATAATTCTTCATATTCAAAAAGTGAACTCCTATTCATGTGGAGGAAGCCTGAAAGGCCATTAACTTGGTCTAAACATTCTCAAATTGCCCCCCTTAAAAATCAAATTGCCCCACATTGGGAACTACGGGTTTAGACCCATTGCTATGAATAGGCCTGGCTAACCTTGGTACTTACCGTATTTTTTGCTCTATAAGACTCACTTTTTCCCTCCTAAAAAGTAAGGGGAAATGTGTGTGCATCTTATGGAGCGAATGCAGGCTGCGCAGCTATCCCAGAAGCTAGAACAGGAAGAGGGATTGCTGCTTTCACTGCACAGAGATCCCTCTTGCTGTTCTGGCTTCTGAGGTTCAGAATATTTTTTTTCTTGTTTTCCTCCTCCAAAAACTAGGTGCGTCTTGTGGTCTGGTGCGTCTTATAGAGCGAAAAATACGGTATATTTCAATGCCTCTACTCTGAGCAAAAGTTAGTTGAGTACAACCCAATATGTTTCCAAGGCCCCATTCACATCATGCACTTAAAGCACTATGACACCACTTCAAGCAGTTATGGCTCTTCCCCCAAAGAATTCTGGGAGCTGTGGTTTCTTAAGGATGCTGAGAGTTGCTAGGAGACTCCCCTCATTCCCCTCCTAGAGGCCCAATTCTCAGAATGGTTTAACAATCAGTATCCCTTGACAGGAAACCCTGCTAGTTATATCCCTGTGAGGGGAAATAGGAGTCTCCTGAAAACTCTCTGCCACACCTGTTTAAAGTGGTATCACAGTGCGTGAATGTGGCCCAAAACACCTGAAGCGACTGATGGATGAGAGAAAGAACATTGCAGAGCCTAGAAGCAATAGTGGAAGATGCTATTTCTATGCTCTGTATCCATCTTAAAGAATAACAACAACAACAGTAATAATAAATTATTATTTATACCCTGCCTATCTGTCTGGGTTTCCCCAGCCACTCTGGGCGGCTTCCAACAAAATATTAAAAATATGATAAAACAGCATACATTAAAAACTTCCCTAAACAGGGCTGCCTTCAGATGTCTTCTAAAAGTCAGATAGTTGTTTATTTCCTTGACATCTGGTCGGAGGGCATTCCACAGGGCGGGCGCCACTACCGAGAAGGCCCTCTGCCTGGTTCCCTGTAACCTCACTTCTCGCAGGGAGGGAACTGCCAGAAGGTTCTCGGAGCTGGACCACAGTGTCTGGGCTGAACGATGGGGCTGGAGACGCTCCTTCAGGTATACCTGGCTGAGGCCATTTAGGGCTTTCAAGGTCAGCACCAACACTTTGAATTGTGCTTGGAAACGTACTGGGAGCCAATGTAGGTCTTTCAGGACCGGTGTTATGTGGTCTCGGCGACCATTCCCAGTCGCCAGTCTATCTGCCACATTCTGGATTACAGTGGCACCTCGGGTTAAGAACTTATTTCCTTCTGGAGGAATTCTTAACCTGAAACTGTTCTTAACCTGAGGTACCACTTTAGGTAATGGGGCTTCCCGCCGCCATGCGATTTCTGTTCCCATCCTGAAGCAAGGTTCTTAACCCAAGGTACTATTTCTGGGTTAGTGGAGTCTGTAACCTGAAGCGTCTGTACCCGAGGTACCGCTGTACTTCCCTTGCGTCTTCAGGGGAAAGTCACTGCGGTCAGCTGGAGAAGTAATTTACAGCAAAAAGCATAACCTTGCGACCCATTGCGTGCTTGAAAAACACCTGACTCTCCCAGTTTATGACTAACACGACGTCTTGTTTTTACAAGCAGGTTGTATGTACATTACATACACTTTAAACACACACACACACACACACAAAAAAAAACTAATACAAGGCATTGAAAACAAGGAAGAATGGCAGGATTTTATCTGGGGGTGTATGTGTAAGAGGATGAACACCCATTTACCTACAGACGTGGGGCAGAGAAGCATTCTGCTCTGGCTGCAAAGAGGCGGGGCGTGTTCCCTAACCCCAAATCCACTCTACCACAGTCCTCCAAACATAGAAGCATCCTGAAT